TGAAGATAAGTCCTCTCTCTCTCTAGTTCTCTAAAGGGCCAGCTCTCTATTATTAGCCCTCACCTTGAAAGGCCTAGCTTACCGATTGTAAAAAGATAATGCTTGCCCCCAAGGGCTTAATTAATACGGTGCCTTAATGGTATGTGAATTATTCACGTTTCTTCGATAACAAGATAATTTGAAAGGTAAGCTGTATTCACGCGTAAGTTCTAGTTTTATTAGAGACTAATCAGTTTATTTCTCTAGTCACCGCGCGAAAAGCCAAATATTCGGGCCCGAATTCGCTCGAATACGGATCGGCACACGCCGCGTATGCCGCAATGTTCCGACGTATTCGATTACGGCTGACTCGAAATACACCTATAGGAATCCGGCCTGTTTTTCCGTATTCAAATTTAATACTCGTGAACGACTCGAAGTGACGATAAATCATACGGGCCACGTTTTGGTAGATTAATGTTGCATTTGATGTTCTTCGAAGATATAGCGATCATTTATGACTCGAACATTTTCGAATACTCTCAGTTGTTCGAGAGTTTTCAACTGGAACACGCGATGCACGACGCCACTTCTGACGTGAACGCCTTCGAATACTAATGAATACGTCAAGTATGCTCTAATTTTCGAGAATCGCACGCTATGAATACGAAAGTTATGTCACATTTTTCACAGCCAAAGACGTCTTGCGTCGTCAACAACGGGTTTTATGCAGGTAAATTAAATATACGCTACCGCGTAGTTTAGTCAGACTGAACACGCTAGTTTTTCGAAGCGTGCGACTGGAACACGAGACTCATGCGAAGTATGAAACGTGTTCATGTTTGAATACTGAGGCATACGTGAGGTTTNGCGTAGTTTAGTCAGACTGAACACGCTAGTTTTTCGAAGCGTGCGACTGGAACACGAGACTCATGCGAAGTATGAAACGTGTTCATGTTTGAATACTGAGGCATACGTGAGGTTTTAAGTTATTCTAAACGACACACTTCAAGTGTTCTGTGGTGTTCAACTGGAACTCGAGACTCGTGCGAAGTATGAAACGTGTTCATGTTTGAATACTGAGGCAAACTTGAGGTTTTAAGGTATTCTAAACGACACACTTCAAGTGTTCTGTGGTGTTCGACTGGGACACGGGACTCATGCGAAGTGTGAAACGTGGTCATGTTTGAATACTGAGGCATACGTGAGGTTTTACGGTATTCTAAACGACACACTTCAAGTGTTCTGTGGTGTTCGACTGGGACACGAGACTCATGCGAAGTATG